AGGAGGTCCAGAGCCCCAGAGTGTTACTGGCCACCAGAGAACAGGAGTAGTGAGTGTTGGGAGAGAAGCCGGCCACTGTGTGAGGTCCAGACTGGGAGGAGGGGGAGTGAGGGAGGGAGGAGGGGGAGGGGGAGCAGGAGAGGGTGTAGCTGGTGATGACTCCATTACGCTGGGTGACAGGAGGAGGAGACCAGGAGAACTCCACTTCTCTCTCTCCAGGCACTGCGTGTAACATCTCTGGAGATCCTGATGGAGCTGAGGGAATTTTATACTGTCATCGTGAAAGTAATGGGGTTTACATAGTACACGTACAATGCTGAGAAATGGAAGTCACGTGAATAAACTTTTTTGTGCACATAGAGCTACAAGTACACAAGAAAGAGAATGCCCAAAAAGGGCTCACTGCCACAATCCTCTCCTTCCAACAATGGTGTTTGTGTGTTCAGTGTGTGTATATTATAGTTAAATACCAGACTCATTAGTAGTGATGTAGAGGTTGGCAGGGAGAGAGGACCCTCTGTCAGATATGGTGGAGATGCTGCAGTTGTATGGAACTCCAGAGGAGAGTCCAGACAGTGTGGCTGAGGTGAGGGTTGGTGCCAACAGGGGAAGGGACTGAGGGGAATGGGATCCCAGTCAGGAGAGGGACACATGTCAGGTTGTAGCCAGTGGTGAGGTGGGCCCCAGCGCTGGGCTGACTCCAGGAGAATGTGAGAGAGGTCTCTGATACTGAAATTACCTCAAAATCTTCCACAGTATAGGCAACTGCAAGCAAAACAGGTCAGGTATGCTTCTGAATGTTTAGATAATGTCCTAGCTAAAAGAGTGAACAACAATTCGTCACAGGCTATATAATTATGAAAAGTGCATGTTATGCCCATGCATCAGCTCGTATAAAAGTGTGCATTATTATGTTAATGTCCAGGTGTTTCACAAACCTTTTTGTTGTATGGTGACATTTGGCCCATAGGTGACAATACTTGGTAGTGTACTGGAATTAGTCACCACACTTATAGAAAAGTTTGCTCCTAGTGTTAGTCCAGTGATGACGATGCTAGTATCTGTCTCTACGGCTTTCACTGAGCCATTTTGTCTTCCATCTATTTGCTGGTAGTAGATAGTGTAGCCAGTAACATTGGGTCCTGCTGATGGTGTCCAGGTCACCAGTAGACTGTTCAGTCCATTCTGAGACACTCTCACATTAGATGGAGGAGAGGGAGCTGGTGTAATCATTAATAAAATATTCAGTAATTCCATGAAATATAATCAGTCTCACCTTGTACAATTAACTCTGCTTCAACTTCTGAAAACCCATTAGCTACTGTACATTTGTAGGATCCTTCTATTCTGTCTGTCACTAACAGTGTGTGAGTGAACTGTGCAGTCACTCCCATCATTCAACACAGTCTGGGTTCCTTGGGTGACAGTGGTGGAGTCTCTGGTCCAAGTGACAGTGGTAGCAGGTCCACCAGTGGAGATACAGGTGAGGGTGAATGAGTTGTCATTATGGAGAGTGAAAGTCATACCACCAGACAATGCTAGATGCCCTGAGTATAGAGAGTGCACAGTATAATGTACATTCAAAAACCAAACATTACCTCCTCCAGTGTTGTACAGTCCAACATAGACAGTCTGAGGTGTGGATGCAGCATCCTGTACTGAACACCAGTATATCCCCTCTGGTGCAGTACCAGTGGTTCTCCTCAGTCTCACTACCATAGGACCTCTAGTTCTGGTAACTCCTGGAACATCAGTACCATCTACTCTAGTCCCATCTGGTGCATACCAGTCTCCTGAAGTAGGAGTACCAGGACGGTTAGTAATACAGAGTAGAGCAGTGTTGTCACTGAAGCCAATATCACTGATAGCCACATAGCCATGATTAGGGATGACAGCTCCATTCAGACTGAGGAAGACATCTACATACACAATTATCAATCAAAGTATTGAAACAGAGAGTGAATGCTCACTATCAGGAGTCTCAATATTCTGTGGTTGGCTGTAGACTCCAGTACCAGCACTGGTCCTTGCTGCCACTTCAACTGTGTAGACTGTCTGTTTAGTCAGTCCACTGAGTGTGGTCATTCCTCCACTGGAGTCTCCAGAGAGAAACCTGAGTGCTCTGACCACCTCCCTCCTCCCCATACCTCACTGGTAGCCTGTTATCTCTCCATTCCACTGCCTGCAGTTCTCTGGCCTCCCCCAATGGACATCAATACTAGTGGAACTGACCACTGACAACCTCACAGAAGAGGGAGGGGCAGATGGAGCTGTGAGAGAGAAAGGTTCAGAATGAAGGAGAGAAGAGACTCTGAGAGATAGACTGACCAGCAGTTCTTGTTGTGGCTGTGACAGTATCTTGTTCAGTCCTTCCTCCAGTCAGAGTGGCAGTGACAGTGATAGAATACTCGAGTTCCCTCCTCTAGACCAGTCAGTTGATATGATGTCTCCACTAGTAGTTATACCACTTCTGGAGTCAGTGAAACAGTCAGTGTTGTTAGTGTTGGAGTAGGAGATGGTGTAGCCAGTAGCTGTCAAAGTCCTCTCCAGTGTCCATGAGATGGTCAGAGATGTAGTGGATGAGGAGATAACTTGTGTACTAAGTCCATCTGTTGAGAAAGGTTTATCCTAAGGCAGAGAAAACCTGTGCCTACACACTGGCATACAAAACAGGTGTATAAAGCCAGAAGTGTTTTGTGTAGGTAATGGATGTTGTCTACACAGCTTAGTGGACATGCCTTCATGTCTCAGCAGTTAGTAGACCCTTAGGAATGGCTTTTTGCCTACACTGTCAAAACATTCTCCTCCCTCACTGATCATTGAGACTCAGTCACTATTTCCACACATAATACTTTACTTTTGAGCCCTAAACTCACCATTAGTCCTTACAGATACACCTCTGGAACAGCCAACTGACATGTCTCTTTCCCATTGGACCATAAACCTAGCCACCACTGAGCCAGTGGGAACACTACCAGCAATAGTGATGGTAGTGTCTGTAGCTGTTGGAGGTGTATCCAGAACAAAAGCAGAGGGAACTGTGAAAATCAGTTATGAAAATTGTACATGTTGGTATAATTCCTGTTTACCCAAGCGAACAGCAGTGGCAGCAACACTTTCACTGACTAGGTCGGTCGATGATTTGGCTACAATCGATATTGTATAGTTCCTTCCATTGGTAAGACCAGTCAGTGTGTGGCTGTCAGTATTTTCACTGGCAACATTGACACTACTACTACTGCCTCCTCCTGTAGTGTAGGAGATGGTGTAGCCAGTGGTATCTCCCAGTGGAGAGGGAGGAGTCCAGGTCACTGTGATACTAGTGGGACCATCTTGCACTGCTGTCACACCAGTGGGAGGCAATGGACCTGCAGAAATACGTGTCTTCAGTATGAGGCACCAAAAATCTCTACTCTTAATATGTATAATATTATGCAAACTGAGATACCTAATGTGGTGCTAGCTGATGCAGATGATGGCTTGTCATTAACCCTCGGCGCGCATGCGCAGCGAGGGTTACGGTAGTTGTCCCGTAAGTGTGTCAGTCCGTCAGTCCGTCCGTCAGTCCGTCTGTCTGTTACCACGTTTTCTGCCACCGCGCGCACGAGATCAGGTAAATAGCGACATGATCGGGTTCAGTGCTACACTGGGCTTATTTTAAAAAAGGCGATTTTCGTAAAACTACTGCGTTTTAAAGTTATGGCGTGAAAACCAAGTGAACAAGCCAATATGTAAATTAGCACAGGCTTACCTCGACCGCGTCCGTTCGCTCTGTGTGTCTTGAAGGCACAACAAGTCACAACGAAGGGCATGTACCGACTCCCGCATGCTATTTACTACTGTAGCTAGCCCGTGCCAGACTCTCCGCGAGCTACTAGCGGGATACCACGAGTAAAGGCATAAAAAGCCCAGCCCGTCAATTAGTGTTACCGCATATGCGCAGTTCGCCGAGGGTTTGCACTTTAGTGCTTTTCATATGTTCCGAAAGCAGTCACAGTCAGAGTGTGGGTGTACTGTGCAGTCACTCCATCATTCAACAAGGTCTGGGTTCCTTGGGTGACAGTGGTGGAGTCTCTGGCCCAAGTGACAGTGGTAGCTAGCAGGTCCACCAGTGGAGATACAGGTGAGGGTCAGCTGGTCAGAGTCAAATGTCACTCCTCCTGATATTGAGATGCTCCCTCCTGTTTCTAGAAGAAAGACTTACAATTGTCTTTTGGTCATTGGAAAGATCTACCACAACTAATAGTAAAAAATGCATTAAGGTTTTTAATACTAAACTTGTCTCCTAAAATCCAAACGTTATTCCTGATGCTCTTAGCAAAATTACCTCCACTAGTATACAGTCCAACATAGACTGTGGCTCTCACTGAGATGTTTGCATCATCATGGACAGCATTGGTTGGAATCTCACAACGATATATACCAGTTGGTGAAGTGGCACTATTATTGCGACGTAGTTCAACTCTCTGAGGTTTTTCAACCACATAAATATCTCCATTTGTCTGCAGAGCTACACCATCAGGGAAAACCCATTGTCCACGATGAGGACCATCATTAATTCTGCAACAAGTCCTCAGATCAGTGTTACACCAAACACTGTTGCTATCACTTAGCCCCACTGTTTCAAGGTCTACATAACTATGGTTAGGTAGCCCAGCTCCCATGGATAAGGAAACATAAGGGAAAGTCTGACAGTCAACTTGCAGACTACAGAGAAGACTCAACGCAAGCACAAATCTCGAATCCATCGCAGAGTGAAAATGTACAAAGCTGAGCCGTGGCCAAACGCTTGTTTCCGCTTCCGGGAGCACGCGGCGTGCGATTTATGGCGCGTGCGCTCTGCACAATCAAACTCTATAGCTACAGAAAACTATTGTTACAAGTGCAGTCAAAATTCACATCATTGCACATGAATGTAGAGTCACATATCTCCAAACCTCAATCTTGGCAGGAAGGGTTTCAAGGACTCTTGATCACCAACCCCGAGGTCAGCTAGATATAATAATATACAGCCAAAACGGGGGAGGGACTCGTGCCAAAACGAGGGAGGGGCTCGTCTTGCTACGTGTACGTGCGCGAGGCAATGTACTGCTACTCTCAATACCTTACTTTCTTTTATTACAATACTTTGTTATTTCGTCATATCATGTCAGTCCACCACTCCTCTGATGGAAGCAAGCAGAAAGGGGGAGGTTGAAACGGCAAAGTTACTTTTAGAGGAAGGAGCTGACCCTGACCAAGAAAATAATGTAAACCATCTCCCATTACGCCGTCCTTCCAACCACTTTTTTGTATTTACAGGAGAAATGGACAGCACTAATGGCAGCAGCAAACAATGGTCGTGGTGAAATTGTTGACATATTGTTGCGCAGAAAAGCCAACCCTAATAAGCAGGATTTTGTGTGTGTTTTAATCATTTGTAGGGTTAACCTAATGGTATTATGCCAACTATAGACCGGGTGGTCTGCTTTGATGGCGGCTGTATTCAAACGTCATGATGATATCGTAATAAAGTTACTCGAAGGTCGAGCAGCACCCCTAATCCAGGACAAGGTTGTTCCTTTTTAACATTTGGAGTATCTATAAAAAGCCTAGTTGAGTAAAGTAGCTATCATCAACAGAACCAAACAAATGCTCTGCTTTTGGCTATCAACGAGAATGCCACATCCAAAGTTGTATTTTCTCTACTAGACCATGTACAAAGTCCACGTTTGCTGAATGCTACAGATGGGGTATGTGTTGTAACTAAATTAGGGTTTTCTATATAGATTCCCCTTTTCTGTTTAGCATGGAGAAACTGCACTTTCCTATGCCAACAAAAAGAAGAATGATGAACTTGTTCAAAAACTACTACAAAATGGGGCCAATCCAAATGTAAGAAATAATATGTCTGGTTTGGTAGTAAACAGTATGTATTGAAAGGGAGCTCTTGCACTATGAGTAAGCCGTTCATAATAGACCAAACAGTGTTGATTACTGATGATACTCTAACCGTGTATTTTCGACTTAAACTATTAATGTGCAGGGGACTGTTCACTAATGCATAGCGTCATAGTGTCCAACACCATCGTCAAGGGTGATAAGTTCTTCACTGTTAATGATAGCGCTAACTGCTGCTTCTTTTTTCTTTTTACTTCAGCTTCCATGACTGTACATCAAGACACTGTGTAGTTGACTGTGGCAGTAGGTGGGGTGCAAGTCGTTAGATAGATAGCTAGAGCCCTTTTTCTAAACTAAATTCTATTCTATGTGCTAATAATAATTATTGCAACATTATGTCGTCAAAGTGTGCATGCTTCAACATTACGCTCTTCTTAATCCTGCAGTAATCTTACATTTATGCATATATCTACTGAAAATTCCTAGTAGCTACCTGATGGTTTAATCATCAGAGACACCAAGTTTTCCACAATCTTATACAGTACCTGTGACCTCTGTGCATTTGTATAGCTACACCTATCAAAAGGCAAGCTGAAGTTAGTCGCAAAGGTAGCAGTTTACTGGAGTATGCTACACATATCGTTACTCCGCTACTCATACAGCATACTACTTGTGGTTGGATCATTACTTCTTGGTTATATTTCTCTTACTGCAGTTCATGGGTTTGGGAATACAACATATAGTGTGCAAGAGGGTGAGGCACTCAATATCCTTTTCGAACTTAATGTAAAGGGAATGACACAGTTCGGCAGTTCTCTTTTCATACCTGGAAATGTAACAGTGGAGTATGCCAGTTCTGAAAGTGAGAAACTTCCAAATTCTTTGATTTGCAAAAGGTTTGTGCATCATTACTCTTTAGGGCCAGTACTGTTCCACCAAATTTCTTCTTCCAACGCCATATCAGTCCAACTGATCGCGCTGTATGTGCAGTCAAACAAGAGGATTACGCTGCGTTTCACACCACATAATCCTGACATTGTCCCTCAGCTTGAGGGTGTAGGAGAGTATGTGAGAGACACTGCAGTAGTCAATATCATTAACAATGAAGGTAAGCTCATTTAAAAACGCTAAGTATTGGGCGTTAAGTCTTTGCATGAATATCAATAATGTTGCATGGCTGGAATAGTGTATCAGGTAGCCATCAGTAAATCATGCGAAGGTATCTTCAAGGCCGAAAACCTTTGTACAGCAGCTTCATGCAACTTTCATCGAGCAATGTTTTGAACACTCTGTACACACCTTACAAACAATAGTACAGTGGAACCTCGTTAATACGAACACTGTTACCTGCTTAATATGAACCACTTTGAATCTCCAGGCATTATAACACCAATACAACTAGCCTTTTAGTATAAACTTTTTTGGACAGTCCCCTGGAGTAAAACCAGAGTGTGCCTTGTGTAGACACTAGGTACACCTTAATGGGTGGGAACTGTTACAAACCATGCACAATTAGATGCTAGTTTGTAAAAAAGTATTTTACTTGAGAGGGAGGGGAGGGAGAAGGGAAGCAAGGTAAAGGCATACTTCTGTTCCCCTTCTTTTTCATGATGTGAAATCCCTTCATTTCAATGATTTTTTTAGCTTTAGGTATGGCTATGGTGACAATTGGATTCACACAGAGAAGTCAGACCGTATTGGAAGCAAGTGTCTTGCCTGGGCGTGATCTGCTTCACATACCTGGCATTGCAGCAGCAGCTCAAACACCGGCTACCAGGGATTATACAGTTGTATTTGAACACATTGAACTCAGCAGCACAGCCATCGTAAATGGGATTCCAGTCGATCCCGGATTGGATGCTCTGTTTGGCTTAGGAAGTGGCAGGCCACTCCAGTACCTCAGCCTGCTGAGCTATAATATCACCGCCGTCTGTAGCCATAAGAAAGGATTTCGTAATTGAGGAATTTAGAGTGCTTCACAATTCGTATATTCATCGAAGGTGGTGTTCCATTCATGTGTAACAACGAGGATACAGCTTCTAATTTCTCCTGCACTCACACAATCTGTATTGAAGATGATGATGGTAACTATAACTGCCGTGTATCAATTTACTGGCATGTATTTTTTCTTAGTAACTTCCATACAGTTTTGAGGAAGAAATTTTAACTAAAATTTATCCCAAGCAAAAACATAGAATTGTTGAAAATTCCTAAAATATAAAGTTTCAGCTTAATTCTGTAATTAATTCCGCATTTTTATATTATTATAATTATATAGAACCATTTGAAGTTGCATTTGTGAAGACAACTACACTGTCGGAACGCTCTGATAGTGGAGAGACTGATGCCTGACAGAGACTACTATGTTCAGTTCCAGACTTTCCATTCTCAGGGTGGCAAATTTGAATTTGTTATAACCGCCTGGTGACACCACCTAGCTTATCACTGTTGTGTGTTATATAATAAGTTGCTGTGCTATCGAAAAACCCGCATTGTCTTTTGTGGTGCGCATGTAATGTAGTTGAGCTAATTAAGGCACATTCAGCTGCTTTGCACTGGATTTATATATACCTTTCCGTTGAAGGTCTGTACTACACTTAAGACTGATAATGTACTGCAGATAGGTGTGTGTGTGCGAGTGTGTGCGTACATGCATGTGGGTGTGTGTGTGCATGCATGTGGGTGGGTGTGTGCATGCATGTGGGTGTGTGTGTGCATGCATGTGGGTGTGTGTGTACCGTAAAACTGCTGAAACCCTACTTTTTAGGTGATGACAATCGATTGACCAGGTTAGTGCCACATTCCTATACCTGTGAGCTGCCTTTGATCACAATTCACAAAAGGCATGCAAAAGAGGTCCATATTGTGAGTGGTTACAATGCAAAGGTAGCACTACTGCCATTGATTGTGGTAGTATGCTACACATGTGGTTACTGTGCTACTCATAGAGCATACCATGCAACTATAGAGCAGTAGTATAGCTACTACTATCATTGTGGGAATATGCCCTACATGGTATCAACTACATACTGTGTTTGTTCGCCTTTGCTTTGCCTTCCAATCTCACCGCCGTTTGGATGTAAAGTTGCAGTAAACCAGACAATCAAGTTGCTGCTCATCATGTTTCTGATACTGTTTGTTGTTCTACTACGGATTGGTCAAGGCCTCTCCCAGTGTTATGTTATAGCAGACTGTACAGGAAGTTCTGTTACTGCATCCACCGCGAGAGGATGCTGTGTAGCAACTAATGATGGCCTTTCTTTTCAAAGTGATGGAGTCTGCAGCACTTGCATTGGTGAGTTTTTAGTAGGATCATTACTTCTTGGTTATATTTCTCTTACTGCAGTTCATGGGTTTGGGAATACAGGGTATAGTGTGCAAGAGGGTGAGGCACTCAATATCCTTTTCGAACCTAATGTAAAGGGGAATGACGCAGTTCAGCAGTTTTCTGCCCAGTTTACTTTCCATACCTGGAAATGTAACAGTCGAGTATGACAGTTCTGAAAGTGAGAAACTTCCAAATACTTTGATTTGCAAAAAGTTTGTGCATCATTACTCTTTAGGGCCAGTACTGTTCCACCAAATTTCTTCTTCCAACGCCATATCAGTCCAAGTGATTGCGTTGTATGTGCAGTCAAACAAGAGGATTACGCTGCGTTTCACACCAGATAATCCTGCCATTGTCCCTCAGCTTGAGGGTGTAGGAGAGTATGTGAGAGATGCTGCAGTAGTCAATGTCACTAACAATGAAGGTAAGCTCATCCTTTAAAAACCCTAAGTATTGGGCGTTAAGTCTTTGCATGAATATCAGTTATGTTGCGTGGCTGGAATAGTGCATCAGTTATCCATCAGTAAATCACTCGAAGGTATCTTCAAGGGTGAAAAACTTTGTGCGGCAGCTTAACGCAACTTTCATCGAGCAATGTTTTAAACACTGTAAAACCAGGGTGTGCCTTGTGTAGACACTAAGTTGGGTGTTAAGTGTTTGCATGAATATCAATGATGTTGCATGGCTGGAATAGTGCATTTGGAGAATCAGGTAGCCATCAGTAAAAGGTATCTTCAAGAGTGAAAACCTATGTGTGCAGCAGCTTCATGCAACTTTCATCGAGCACTCTGTAAAACCAGAGTGCACCTTGCGTTGAAACCTAAGTACACCTTATTGGGTGGGAACTGTCACAAACCACACACAATTAGATGTTAGTTCGTAAAAAAGTATTTTACTTGAGAGGGAGGGGAGGGAGAAGGGAAGCAAGGTAAAGGCATACTTCTGTTCCCCTTCTTTTTCATGATGTGACATCCCTTCATTTCAATGATTTTTATATATCCACTTTTATTAGCTTTAGGTATGGCTATGGTGACAATTGGATTCACACAGAGAAGTCAGACCGTATCGGAAGCAAGTGTCTTGCCTGGCCGTGATCTGCTTCACTTACCTGGCATTGCAGCAGCAGCTCAAACACCGGCTACCAGGGATTATACAGTTGTCTTCGAACACATTGAGTTCAGCAGCACAGCAATCGTTAATGGGATTCCAGTCGATCCCGGATTGGATGCTCTGTTTGGCTTAGGAAGTGGCAGGCCACTCCAGTACCTCAGCCTGCTGAGTTTAGGAGAGGCTATAATATCACCGCCGTCTGTAGCCATAAGAAATGATTTCGTAATTGAGGAATTAGAGTGCTTCACAATTCGTATATTCATCGAAGGTGGTGTTCCATTCATGTGTAACAACGAGGATACAGCTTCTAATTTCTCCTGCACTCACACAATCTGTATTGAAGATGACGATGGTAACTAAATGTCTCGTACCATTTTACTATACCATTTTACTAGTGTGTTGTTCCGTAGTAGCTTCCATAATTTTACTCACGAGTTGAATTCTTGCAGAGACTTATTGATCCCTTGCCAATAGCATAGGATAGCTCACAAATCCTAATATTAATACACAGTTCCCATCCATTTAGCATAATTTCTTCATCAATTTTATATTGTAGGACCATTTATTGTGGAATTTGTGAAGACAGTGTACACTGTTGATGAGAGTGTAGGCTCAGTGAGTGTGTGTGTCAATCTCACTCGACCAGAAACTGACATTCTCGATGAAACTGTACAAGTTTTTGTCATTGATAACCCCAACTCAACCTACATCCCTGCTGGTGCTCCTTTGGCAAGTATGGTGCTTGCAAGTAAAAACCATCTGTGTTAGTATAAAACCCATTCTCCAGGTCCAGATCCACCCGATTTTCTCAGTAGATATTCAATGATAGAAGGCTCTGACTATCAACAGCAAACTGCTGCACTCAACCTCATTGATGACATTCTGATTAGTGAATTAAACAGAATTATCTGCTACAACCAGACAATATACGATGACACACTTGTGGAGGCAAATGAATATCTGGGCCTGTCACTTGGAGTGAGAGATGGTGGATCTACCACAGTATTAACACTTGTAAACCCAATGTATGGCGAGGCATCAATCCTTATCCTGGACAATGATGGTAAGGGAACCAGCCAGTTAAAGTATGAATAACGCAAGTTAATTTTATCAGTATCAATAATTTTTTTGTAACGTCTCATAATGCAGGACCAATTTCTTTTGGTTTCGATGCCACTGTGTACACAACAAGTGAGAGTCAGGGAATGGTGGAAGTCAGGATTGTTGTACAGACCCCATCTACTGGAGGAACACCGCAACCATTCTCTGTCTCAGTCAGTACCACAGATGACACTGCAGGTATGTAGCTAATGTCCTTTAACCATGCTTGGATTCCCAACCTCCATTCCACAGTCGCTCCCGATGACTATGTGGCCATTACTGGTCAGATAATACAGTTCAATGTTGGAGATACTAGTCACAGCCTCACACTCTCTATTGCTAACGATGAGATGTGTGAGACCCCGAATGAGAGCTTCTTTGTCAGGATTTCTCTTGTTAGTAGTACTGGATCCATCGCCATCTCTCCCTCACAAACCCAAGTCTTTATCGATGATGTGAATGAACCAGAGTGTGGTGAGTAGCTTTTCTGTGTTCTGTACCTGAATATTATGCCAACAATAATTATTGTGACACTCACACGTTGCATGTGGTAGGCCACTATACTGTGTACACTTCTGTTTCTAGTGAACTTTGAGAAATGACCCTGGTTGTTTTTACATAAAGGTTCCTCCGGTTCCTATGGTCACTGGAGTTCCTTTGGTTCCGTTTCAATGGTTCCTTGGCTTCCTATGGATCCTTTGGTTCCTATGGTTCATGGAGTTCCTAGGGTTCCTATGGTTCCTGGGTTCCTGGGTTCCTGTGGTTCCTGGGGTTGCTTGATTATTACCCTGATTACCCTGGGTCCTATGATTCCCCTTCATTCTTTGTCTATTTGAAGGTATGATTTTTCCTATTACAGTGCCTACACTCTCACTATCTTCTGGGACATATGTTGCACTAGAAAACGAGGGGTCAGTTGAAGTGTGTGTGGTACTCAACATTCCTCTAAATATCCCTTTGGACTTGATAATCACTACTACTGCTACTAGCAGCACAGATGGTAATGCGCAAGGACTTACTACATAAAGATAACTCACACACACACACACACACACACATATATAATATATATCTTCAGGTGAAGACTTTGTTGGCGGGCAGTTTCCTTTGTTCTTGTTCCCGGGACAAACGCAGGAATGCATCAATATAACCGTCATTGATGATGACACGGCACTAGAGGGAAGAGAGATGTTCAGGGTGGATCTCTCTACACTCTTCTTCCCTGTACCAATAGATATATCAACTGCCGAAGTAACCATCATTGACAATGACAGTAAGAAAGCATTTTTTCAGTGATTGCATAGATTGCCTATGACCGGTAACTTATTCATAACATTGCGTAAGTTTTGTCCACATATCTCACAAATTGATTATTAACCCTCAGCGCACATGCGCAGCGAGGGTTACGGTACTTGGTCTGTTTGTCTGTCTGTCTGTCTGTCCGTCTACAGGCTACGAGGCGGCCAATGAGTGGCACCAACGGCTTTTAAACAACGAGAACATAGATATGAATGTGGCGATTTTCCTGAAACGACTGCGTACCAGAGATATGGCGTGAGAACAAGCGAAAAAGCCAATGTGCGATCTATCGCGCACGCGCCATCTCCGGCAGGCTACGCTGGCGTGCACGCGTCATGTCAGGAGCATGTGCATACGCCATGTGGTTGCGACGCCCTGGGTGCAAGCATTTGTTCTTAGTGTTTCTTCTCTGTCACTTTTGATCTCTGTTCTCTTTGTTCCCAATGGATAAGAAGCTGAGAAAGGTATGTCCGCAATGTAGCATAACAGTTCACTTGAGACGAGCAGTTTGTGGATGCGGCCATGTCTTCCATAAAAGCGCAGTCTGGCAGTATGTTGAAACACAGAAGAGCAGATAGATTAAATAAAGCAAATATGAGAACCTCTGAAACACCTGAGCAATTGCTCTAACCGAAGACCTCTGATGCAGCTAGCCTGTGTTACGGCGAGACTCGTATCACTGGCTCCTTTGACGACGCATGGCCCAATGCTACAACGCGCGCGTTTTGCGCCGAGGGTTTGCACTTTAGTGCTTTTCATTTCCACTCAGTGGTTGAGTGTCCCACTCTGAGTGATCCTGATAATGGCAATGTCAATCTCAGTGGAAACACTTTCGGACAGACAGCAGAGTACACATGTAACACTGGCTTCAATCTGATTGGAGACTCAATATTGATTTGTGGTGCTGACGGCCAGTGGACTGGAAACCCTCCTGCATGCGAGGGTAGGCATCTTAGTATCACAGACTCACTAACTGCACTTTGCTTATTTCAACACAGCTGTCCAGTGTCCTACTCTCGATAGTCCCATGAATGGCTCACTGCTAATATCTGGAACTGGTGTTGGTGTTTACCAGGATACTGCAACATATGCATGCGAAACTGGCTTCAATCTGGTTGGCATGTCGGAGCGTGTTTGTCAAAGTGATGGCACGTGGAGTGGATCTAACCCTACATGCCAGTCGAGTAAATACACATTTAGTGTGACAATAGGCACTGGTTGTAACACTATCTTATTTTCCACTCAGTTGTGTGTCCCCTTCTGCGTGATCCTGATAATGGCAATGTCAATCTCAGTGGAAACACTTTTGGACAGACAGCAGAGTACACATGTAACAATGGGTTCAATCTGGTTGGAGAGTCAATATTGATGTGTGGTGCTGATGGCCAGTGGACTGGGGACTCTCCTGTATGCGAGGGTAGGCATCTTAGTATCACAGACTCACTAAACACACTTTGCTTATTTCAACACAGCTGTCCAGTGTCCTACTCTCGATAGTCCCATGAATGGCTCACTGCTAATATCTGGAACTGGTGTTGGTGTTTACCAGGATACTGCAACATATGCATGCGAAACTGGCTTCAATCTGGTTGGCATGTCGGAGCGTGTTTGTCAAAGTGATGGCACGTGGAGTGGATCTAACCCTACATGCCAGTCGAGTAAATACACATTTAGTGTGACAATAGGCACTGGTTGTAACACTATCTTATTTTCCACTCAGTTGTGTGTCCCCTTCTGCGTGATCCTGATAATGGCAATGTCAATCTCAGTGGAAACACTTTTGGACAGACAGCAGAGTACACATGTAACGATGGGTTCAATCTGGTTGGAGACTCAATATTGATGTGTGGTGCTGATGGCCAGTGGACTGGGGACTCTCCTGTATGCGAGGGTAGGCATCTTAGTACCACAGACTCACTAACTGCACTTTGCTTATTTCAACACAGCTGTCCAGTGTCCTACTCTCGATAGTCCCATGAATGGCTCACTGCTAATATCTGGAACTGGTGTTGGTGTTTACCAGGATACTGCAACATATGCATGCGAAACTGGCTTCAATCTGGTTGGCATGTCGGAGCGTGTTTGTCAAAGTGATGGCACGTGGAGTGGATCTAACCCTACATGCCAGTCGAGTAAATACACATTTAGTGTGACAATAGGCACTGGTTGTAACACTATCTTATTTTCCACTCAGTTGTGTGTCCCCTTCTGCGTGATCCTGATAATGGCAATGTCAATCTCAGTGGAAACACTTTTGGACAGACAGCAGAGTACACATGTAACAATGGGTTCAATCTGGTTGGAGAGTCAATATTGATGTGTGGTGCTGATGGCCAGTGGATTGGGGACTCTCCTGTATGCGAGGGTAGGCATCTTAGTATCACAGACTCACTAACTGCACTTTGCTTATTTAAACACAGCTGTCCAGTGTCCTATTCTCGATAGTCCCATGAATGGCTCAGTGTTAATATCTGGAACTGGTGTTGGTGTTTACCAGGATACTGCAACATATGCATGCGAAACTGGCTTCAATCTGGTTGGCATGTCGGAGCGTGTTTGTCAAAGTGATGGCACATGGAGTGGATCTGACCCTACATGCAACAGTAAGTATGGTTTTTTGTGTGGCAATTGGCCTTTATTCTAACACCACCTTTTTTCCACTCAGTGGTTGTGTGTCCCACTCTGAATGATCCTAATAATGGCAATGTCGAACTCAGTGGAAACACTTTTGGACAGATAGCAGAGTACACATGTAACACTGGCTTCAATCTGATTGGAGACTCAATGTTGATTTGTGGTGCTGACGGCCAGTGGATTGGGGACTCTCCTGTATGCGAGGGTAGGCATCTTAGTATCACAGACTCACTAACTGCACTTTGTGCTTATTTCAACACAGCTGTCTCTCTTTCTTGCACTGCTACTGGATTGTCAGAGGTTGTAGCAATAAATTGCAGTGGAGTTGGACCAGACACTTCTCTACAGTGTTCATTTAGTGGTGGACCACTTCACTCATGTAAGTACTTACCTATTTAATGCACACCCACTCCAGCTTAGCCAATGGGCATTAGTAAGAATTGGCATATGAACATGTGCCTCAAGTGTGTCTATTATGATGATGTGATGTAGTTGTACTTTGGTATTGGAAGACACCTAGGTACACCGAGACAGAAAGTCATTCACAACCCCATCCCTCATCTTTGTTTTGACATGTAGTCATAGACTGTAAAATTATCAGACCTGCCTCTGTATAGCATCCCAGCATTTACGAACAAGGAACTGAACGAAGATGTAGAGATGGGGTTATAAACGACTTTCTGTCTCGCTGTAGTGTAGGTGTCTTAATGTTCCCCTTCTTTTACATGAGGCAACATCCTTATAGTACAACAGTTTAGACAGATATCTTTACAAAATTGTAGGTAACGTACCAATTCTACTGACAAGTAATGTCAGTCCTCCTGGTAGTCGGTTTAACGTGACAATATTGGCAAGTACTGGAGGTGAGGACACTGTGACATACGACATAACAAACACCAAAACTGATGGTGAGTATAATTTATGTAGACTGTCAACTTTCATCTGAAATTTGCTTCTTTGAGTAGCTATAGCTGCTTTATGAGCATTACAACTTTTGATTTTCCACAGTATAGTTATAATTTCACTGTAATTTTCTCAGTGCAAGCCAGCGTGCCTCCACTGGAGGTCGTTCTAACTGGTGGTTCACCTCGTGTGAATGAGAGCTCTGTGGAGGCAGAGTTTGTAACCACCAGACCAGTGACTGGAGTGAGGTGCTTCCTCAGATATGAGAACAAAAATGACTACAAAGACTGTGAGTACACAGCACTCTATGAAATAGTGTCAGTCTATATAAACAACATGCGTAAAAAAAAAAATTGTCACTTTCGTGTCGTAAACATCGTTATGCGCCTCTGTGCTATTATCACAGGTTCTTCTGGTAGTGTGTCCTTCACAGGACTGAAGCCTGGACGCTATGTCCTAAAGATCTTTGCCTACAACAAGCTAACTGATGTGGCAGCTATGAAGAGAGTGGTTAATGTGTAATCTTTTGACAGAGTGGATACTTTTATTTTTCTGAACGCTGCAGTACTGTGTGGTGGTTTTGTCTATAGATATTATAGCTTTAGAACAAAAAATGTTTTTCTACGCTTCTACATGAGACATAAACACCTCCACTGACACAATAATTTGCTCGTAGTTTCAAACAAAACGAGCTCTTAGCAATTTCTCAGCCGAGACATATTAAATAAGGAAACTTTGCGGATTTAACTCTACTGTAACATAGGGATGGTAAAAAGCAAGGAGAAGATAGGGATGACCTAAGTGCATAATAGTGTGATGCAGTAAAACAATGGATGATGGCTGCGCACTTTTACTGTTTACAGTGCATAAAATGCACCACTTTCAACTTCTTTGGTAGCCCCCACACCCAGTGCAGATGGTTTATTGTGTATGTTAAAGTGCACTGGTTTCAACTTCTTTGATCTCCCACCCCCCATCCATCCACTATCCCTTGGGCATGCTACATATAGTACAATGAAGTAACCCTTCTACAGTTAGCAAACAGTCTATGCTACATAACTTCTGTTTTAGCCATCTCCTACAAGTGAACTGAAATGAAAGCAGTAAGTTTTCTGTTGCTGAGTGTTGCCTGGTCTCTGGGTGAGGTTCAGTCTCAGGTCTTTCCTTACATCTCATTCATGGGCCAGACTCTGGCCAACAATTCCTACGTTGATCTGAAGTTTGTGGGAAACGATTCGAATGGATTCAACAACCTTCAATGCCGCACCGATCTAGCTACTTGCTGCAGTAATAGTCAGGGTAGTCACCGTGGAGACTGGTATTACCCAAACGGCAGTCGACTGCAATTCCAAGGTGGGTTTTTTGAAGGACGTAAAGACCAGGTTGTGTTACTGAAAAAGGAAAATGGTAATGAAATGCCCTCTGGCATATACCGATGTGACATTCCATCTGTCGCCTCCCACAATGTTAATAATGATGAGAGGGAGCCAGTCTATGCCGGATTATACTCAAGTGGAGGTATGTTGCTGCACTGTTAGTATGTTGAACCTTGCAGGGACTTTACCTTACATATCATACCTCTGTAGAAGCAGCCATTGCATAGGGCATGCTTTTATCTCCCATGGTCTATAATAACATTCTCACTCTGTACAATGCAGGGGGTCTTAGTGTTGTTGGTGACGTGGACTACAGCTATACTGAAGGTCCCTATCAGGTCAATCTCACCACCAAAACAGTAGGCGGACCTCCAACTATTGTCTTCTGGACAAAAAACTGTGCCAGAGCTGTGGGAGATACCACAGCTTTTCTGAGTAATACTGAGAAAAGTGAATTTACGCACATACTGACTATTTATCCCGCGGAAACCAAAGGTTCTTTTTTCATATTTACTGCATCTAATAATAAACCATCAGGAGATTCAGTCATATTCCCAGAAACTAGTAAGGAATGAGTAGCCATTTGTTATGTAACAAGCAACTTACTGCTTTTCATTCTTTGCAGCTAAGAATGTTTCGGTTCCATATGTCATGATCCACGCAGTGAATGCCACAAGTGTTCGGCTAAAATGGGCTGGTAGACGATTCTTTTCCACCTCAGTGAAATATACCAGCATATTCTCCAACACCGGCTTAGCCATTAGCCATTACAAAGCAGTTCTACCGCCATATGTAGACGCTACTGACATCTCTCTTGATGACTACCATCCTGGCTATGAGCACCATTTTACTCTGAGTTATGTCATCTGTAATGTTGTTCCAGCCTACCATCAAGCAACAGCAACATTTGCTTTCGGTAAACTACGTGTTTACGACTATACCTGGTCAAAGTATATAAAAGTCTTACAATGTGTTTAGCGTTTATTACGAAAATTCCTACTCTCTATGGATTTTCAAGCAGTCATTTTTGTTGTACATATTACAGACACGAAACACTTTCAAGTACAGTTTGGAACAATGGAGCACTGCCTAAACTGGGGAGTGAGTTTGTAAAACAATGTTCAGAGCTATCTATACTGTAAACCATACATTTTCTCCTTTCCAGGTAGAGAAGAAAGACCGCATTGAGGATGAAATCCAAACCCACTTGGTTCGTATTATACGTCAAAACTGCACCATGTGCTATGATTTGACTACTGCCTTTCTGAGAAAAGGATCATTCCTTTGCCAGAGAAATCCTACTCATTTCACCTACCGCTCCACCCTTGTTAACCCTTTCCCAACAACAAACTCCAGTGAACTGCTGGGCATTATTCAGAGCTGGGTATCTCCAGGTCCTTCACTGGTACTTGATGGTCTGTCAGTAAGGGTCAACCGACACTGTCCTACACGTATAGAGAGCCTGGAGGACGGAGAATGTGAGAATGAAGCTATGTCTGATCCACACATGGTTGAACTGATGACTCGAGTGCTCAGTGTGTGCACAGTGAGGGAAATTGGGCACCAACTATGCACTGGTAGTTGATAGAGGACAATGACAGGCACATCAAAACTAAAAGTTTAGTGTAGTGTATAGTGTGCAGAGTTTAGTGTTGTGTATAATGTGCAAGTCAACTAGCCATGTAGGTGAAGAATGTCATGCAATTCAGCTATTTGGTACAAGCGAAGCGATCCCATTGCGCAAGGTGTGCGGTCGTGCTTTGCGCAATCCCGTTGAAATTTCCGACAGCGCGAACCGAGAGCGCGAACCGTAGTCATCGAGTAGTATAAAAGCAGCTCTCTGTTAGTCAGTTTCATACTAAAGCTAGTATATTCTGAATCATGTTCGCTCTACTTTTCATATTGCAATTGCTCCTGTCTGCGGCTCTTTCAGAGTCAAACGTAGACACTCCTATAGGAACGCTTACACTCCACGGACGCCAGAAACATGGTGATTCCGCCTATATTTCAGCCTCGTTCCGCTCTCTACAAGGCGACGGGATTGCCATCTTTTCTACTCCACGTTCCCTGTCAGTGTCCACGCTGGACGGCGAAAATCTCGTACGTTTCTCGAAACTCGGTCAACCAGCTGCACAATTTTTTTTCGGTGAGGGAGACGAGGACAAGGTCGTATTTCAACTGCTACAGGACGGGTACGTAGAAAAAAACAAGAGGATCTACCACATACCTGCCGTCGCTGAAGGGGAGACTCTAGCGCATCCGGACTCTGCCGTAAAGGCTAGCATTGACGCCCTTGCGGCACACCCGACTATTAGACTGCTCGAGCCAGCAGCGCGCGCAATGGGCGAAGATCTCGGAATACTAGGACGTGACGAGCCAGCAGCGATGTCTTTTTACACGACCGCTATGGTGCTCACGCAAACCTACAGCAGCAAACTTCGTGCCACGGTCTCAGAAACGGCGAACCCTTCGGACAGATACCTCTATCCGTCCCGGCCCGGTCGAGTTTTCGTGCAAGGAAAGTTCCCAAACTGCGATATGAAAACGTGCCCACCATGCCAGGAAGACCAGTGCTACGGTTTATGCGGTCGTCAATGCAACTGCTGGTCGTTCGTGTGCGGCGACTGCTGCTACCATCTCGGCTGCAAAGACCACGATGTATGCTGTGATAAGGGATACACAACCTTTGCTTGTTTCTTTCCGATCGGCTTCAAATGTGACGCTCCCTATAAGTGTTGAAAGCGCCGATAAATTCCCATTTACTATTGGAGAGGAACTGTTAGCTACTAGATAATTACACGTTTGTTTTATTTGGTAGCTACAGATAATATTGTACAAAGAGGCTTTTGCTGACATTAATAAAGGCGGGAGACACCCAGAAATGAAAAATCAAACCCTCGGCGAACTGCGCATGCGCGGTACCGCTAAATTGCCACACTCTGGTCTCCACTCTAGGAGTCTGACACGTGCTAGCTACAGCAGTAGATATATAGCATGCGGGAGTCGATACGCGCCCTTCGTTGTGCCTTCAAGATACACTGAGCAAGCGGACCCGCTCGGGGTAAGCCTGCTTTAAATCGCATATTGGCTTTTTCGCCCGTGTTCACGCCGCAACTCCCGAACGCAGTAGTTTCAGAGAAAACCTCATATTTTTCGACAGTTATGCGGCGCTGAAAACGCGGTATCGTTTGTAGAGTGATTGATGGCTCGTGAGGTGAGATGTCAGGGTGCTGACTGACTGACTGACAGACACACACAACTGACGTGGTTTTTGTTGTAATCTATGCCGACCCTGACGCGCTTTGTTTTCTCACTCTGTTCGCTCTCGAGATGAAAGTTTCTAACGATCGCAGATGCAGAACGCGCGACCTACGCACTTACGTTACGTGAGATGCTGCGAAAACTGGGCGGCGGGCGGGTACTCAGCCTCTATAGCTGGGGGGGTTGCGTTTTGCATAGCACAAACCTGGTGTAACGGCGAGAGATCAACGCAGGAATATAATATAGCTATTTTGCGACGAATTCAGACGACAAGGTAGACGCTCGCGTGTCATTATGAAGCCTGGTGTAGCTCGCCAGGCTTTTTAAAACTGCATTTTACACATTCATTAACTGATGCCTGCGCATGCGTAAATTTCAGTACGTACGTTACTAAGCAACCACAATAAACAACGCGAGCACCGGCGCGGGCCTGATGGCTTTACTAAAACTGATTGAACAAACTACTCCGTGGAGGACCACAAATAATGAAGAGGCAGAAACTGTAGAACCACAGTCATTGCTCAAAAATAAGTCTCCTGGTCACAAGGTGAGCTCGAGCCTGTCTGCTTTTATATAGTTAGTTGTTGCCCCTCTCCCTAAGAAAGCGGTTCCAGGAGAGTACGACGGAGCAGAACTTCTGTTAGAGGTGATAGGTGATGCAGTCGAGTATGCCGTTGACAGTGGATTGAATGCCAAGGATGTCGATAGTTTTTTCAATGTCTTCACAACTGTTTTAACAAGCATCATTCAGAACGGTACAGTGAAATTGTTAGCTACATACTTCCTGCGTTGAAAACTTCATAGCTAGCCTAAAAGTAATTTCTGATGTACCTTGGTTAGAATAATGCTGAATCGTTAAAGTTTTTATGCACAACGTCATTGCACATGTTGAGGTAAAGTTTTGGTATCTCTGCAGGCAACACTCGCTCTCTAGAAAACAGTGCCCGTGTCCTGAAAGACTGCCTCCTTTCAGGCCCAGTCCCGATCAGTCGCACCGTGTCTCACCACGCAGCCTCCTACGTCACTCGCACACTACTGCAACATTTCAGACTCTATCACTACCTCCTCAACCACCGCCAACAAGAGTCCCACACTGAGGTACAGATGCCTGTAGAGACTCCTGACAAATGCCTGCCACCTCTAAAAGACGGAATGGTGGAGAGTGAGTGGGAGAATAAGGAGAAGATTAGAAAGATTGAAGAGCTACACGTAGTTTCGCATGCATATGTTGCAGTATCCTGGTAAACAATTTTTGCTCTCGGTAACCACACCCAAACATTCATTTCACCTGGAAGCGATAGAACGCCCAGTTATTAACCCTCGGCGCGCAAGCGCAGAGAGGGTTACGGTACTTGGTCCGTAAATTTGTCTGTCTGTCTGTCAGTCTGTCAGTCTGTCTGTTACCACGTTTTCTGCAACAACGCGCTACAAGACAACGAAAGAGCGATACCAAAAGGTTCAGCGCTATATTATATACCGGCTTGATTTTAAATTTGGCGATTTTCGTAAAGGCGATGCGTTCGACTGACACGTGTTTTTCGCCATAAATAGCACCATTGAGCGGCCAAGGTTTTATTATGGCAGAAGCTGTTTGACTATAGCTATAATACCAGTTTTTTTTTCTGGTTGAGTTTGTATGGGTGCATTCTAGGGCTGGGGAATAGTGTTTCTCAAAAAATTGTGTCATCCAAGGATTTACACTTCATTTCCTCTGGTATGGGGGTGTTGTTATGGATGCACAGGTGTATTTGCACTTCATTAACCACGGGTGCGGCAATGTTGTTATAGCTGCAATCTCATGGGGCATCATTCTTTCATCCATAAACCCATGGCGCCACATTAGTATTTCCACAACTAGTGGTAACTAATGGAGTGTTGAGAGCCGTAGTGGGTGCAATAATGCGAATCCGCTCGCTCTGTGTACCTTGGAGGCTCAGAAAGTCACAATGAATGGTATATATCGACTCCCACGTGCTATCTACTGCTGTAGCTAGCCCGTGTCAGACTCTCCGCGAGCTACTAGCGGGAGACCGCGAGTGAGCGCATGCGAATTACTAGCCCAGCCCATCAATTAGCTGTATCGCGCATGCGCAGTTCGCCGAGGGTTTGCACTTAAATTTGCATAGCGTCCGTTTATATTACACGTCAGACCAATTTATACATCAGCTTTTCATATATACAACTATAATAAATAAGAACAAATTGTTTTCTAAGCAATCATGGTACACTCACGGTTGAGGCTGAAGTGGAGACATATAATATATATACATAGACAAATCAACTATCATAAGGCCCCTCATCTGGCTCAACTTTATCCTATCGTCATTGTCTATGTAAAAGCTCTTGTAGCATCTGTTCCTGGCCTAACTCATTTGCAATCGTAACAGCTGTATCTCCATTCTGTAAGGTATATTGCCAATTATGATACATACATTATGATCAATATTCACGTTATTGGAAATGGTTGAATTAGCTCCCATAGATAGTATTTTCTTAACCAGCTTAAGATTCTTCTTCTTACATGCATACATGAGTGCTGTTTCACCATACTATAGGAGGAAAAGTTAGTAATTGCACATAAATTCATGGATCCATAGAGATTTACGCTGTCCTGGATGTCTAGGTAAGATGGATCCATATGATCAAGTAGAGCTTCTACAACTGTGTCAGTCCCGTGTATCTTAATAGCCAGCAACAAAGCGTTTGTTTTGTTCTGTTCATAAGTTTGGTAAGTGGGTATATAAGAGAGTTTAGTAGGTGATTACCTTGTCCTGTATATGTGGTTTTGCTCCAGCTGTGAGAATCCTGAGAGCAACACCATTGTAACGCTTAAACACTGCTGCCATAAGAGCTGACCAGCCACTCTAAAGTATGAGAAAGGGTTCCAGAAGAACAAATAAGGCTCACTATACTCACATCATCCTGCTTATCTGGATCAGCTTTCCTACCTAGCAGTGTGTCAGCAGTACCCAAATGACCATTGTTTGCTGCAGCCATAAGTGGGGTCCAGTTCTCCTGAGATGAAAAGCAGCATTATTAATCAGTGATTGCACGTGCTCATTCTCAGGATTCTCACGCTGTTAGCTAGGTTAGGGTTGGCACCATTGTCTAATAGCAAGCGAGCAATCTCGAAATTTCCACCTCTGCTTGCTTCCATGAGCGGTGTTGAGTCAGTCTGCATAAACGCTCATTGCTGAACCTGCACAATAAGACCTAAACCCAGAGCATTTTACCATTGGGGGAAACACATTGGGGTCTACTCCCTCTAAAAGTAGCTGTCCAACTCTTTCCTTGTCACCTTCAGAAACTGCGCTCATCAGTTCCTCCTCTACGGTAATCATCGCGTTATTTTCTTCGAGGGGATTTTCAAAGTTTCTGTTGAAGAATCGGCGCTAGCTACGGCCTACGGGTCTCTAGCGGAGCAACGGAGGCGCGTAAATAGACATACGTACGTGACCGGTAACGACTCAAATATTAGGGGTGGGGTTCTTATTCGCGCCCGCTTGTATTCATGCTATTGCGATTGGACAGCAAACGGCAAGGGAGCCATATTCAAGGTCTGTTTGTGCACTTGGAGATTCATAAATACCGCCCTTCTTTCACCACTGGACCACCAGGGAGTTAGGAGATGAAGTATAATACGTACTAAGGCGTAATCTCTTCCATTAGACCTTCCATGGTGATCGACTGCCAAGTAATACACCTAACATGGAGTTCTAATCTTCCTCAAATCCACATAATAATAATTATTATAAACCCGAACCCAGGTGACTTCTTGTTATTCTGGGTCCTTGAACAAGCCAAGTCGTTCCGTAACCTTATGAGATTGCGTGGGGTGGACGTAGGTCGTGGCAGGGAGTTTCCTGCAAACTCTATTATGCATTTACGCACTGCTTTAGCTGGTGAATATTCGTGTGCCCGAGAGCGCCGATCAACATTCAAAGCGCGCGCGTTGACATCGACGATGGGTGCATGCTGTGCATCTCACAATGGTACAGTCTTTCCAGCTGAACTGCAACCTCAATCTTGGCAGGAAGGGTTTCAAGGACTCTTGATCACCAACCCCGAGGTCAGCTAGATATAATATACAGCCAAAACGGGGGAGGGACTCGTGCCAAAACGAGGGAGGGGCTCGTCTTGCTACACACGTACGTGCGCGAGGCAATGTACTGCTACTCTCAATACCTTACTTTCTGACCAAGAAAATAATGTAAACCATCTCCCATTACGCCGTCCTTCCAACCACTTTTTTGTATTTACAGAGAGAAATGCACCGCACTCATGGCACAGCCAGCAAACAATGGTCGTGGCTGGAATTGTTGACAACTTGTTGCGCAGACAAAGCCGACCTAATAAGGCAGTCTCTGTGTGTGCTTTACTCATTTGTAGGTTAACCTACATGGTATATAGCCACTATAGACCGATGTGTAGTTACTGCGTGAATGGCGGCTGTAGTACAAACGATCACGATGAGTGATAGTGAGAACAGTTACTCGAAAGGTGGAGCAGCACACCCCTCAATCCAGGACAGCGAGGTTGTTCTTTTTAACATATGTCGAGCTAGCTATAGCAGCTGTTGGTAAAGTCTCATCAACAGAACAAACAAACGCTCTGCTAGCTTGCACTAGTCCACCGAGAAGGCACACTCCAAGTGTATTTTCTCTACTAGACATGTACGAAGTCCACGTTTGCTGATGTTACGAGTGGTATGTGTTGTAACTAAGATTAGGGTTTTCTATATAGATTCCGCCTGTTCTGTTTAGCATGGAAGAACTGCACTTCCATGCCACACAGGAAGGATGATGTAACTGTTCAAAAACTACTACAAATATGAGAGGCCGAATCCCATGGAGGCAAATAATATGCGGTGTGTCTGTGTTGGTAGTAGCAGATGTATTGACAAGTAGCGCTTGTCACCTATGAGTAAGCCGTGCAACGTTCAATCAGACTCAACATGTTGATTTACTGATGATACTCTTACTCGTGTATTGTCGACTATAAAACTATTAATAGTGCCGGGGACTGTTCCACTAATGCATAGCGTCAAGTGGTCCACCCCGCATCGTCAAGCGTGAGAGAGTTCTCACTGTGTGACATGATAGCAGCTACTGCTGCTTCGATTTTTTCTCTCTTACTTCAGCTGCCATGACTGTCACAGCAGACACTCGTTAGTTGACTGTGGCAGTAGTCGATAGTACAGTGTCTGTTAGATAGATAGCTAGTTAAGCCCTTTTTCTAACTAACTTCTATTCTATGCTAATAAATAATTATTGCACATGAATGTCGTCACAAGTGTGCATGCTTCACATTACGCTCTTCATTATCTGCTAGTATCTCTACATTTATGCATCTATATTACTGAAAATTCCTGAGTACCTGATGGTTTAATCATCACAGACACCTCTTTGCATTCGATAAAGGTTTGTCGACATCATTACTCTTTAT